GCAAATACTGATAAAAAATCTAGTATGGCTGCAGACCTGCGGGAAACATTTGGCAACCGACGCATATGAACCTTGTCCTAAAGTTGAAGTAGAAGCGTACGGGTTATGGCTGGAGAGAGACAAATGTAATAACAAACAAAAATAAAAAACCTGTTCCCTTATAAACAAATGTAAATATTTGGCAATCGTGTATTCGTTATGGACATATTGACACATGGTACGATGAAATAAAAATTAAAGTATAAACTAACGGTGGGGAAGCATCGCACAACAAACGAGCTTTTAAAATAAACAGTCCTAATGCTATGGAAAGAAACATACTATTAAAATGTTGACATACTAAACGTGTATTACCTGACAAATAAAATATTTTTCTCGCAAATCCTTACTGTGTACTTAATTACGGTTTAATAACGTCACACTCTCACCCTGCGTGGAGACCACGCATAACTTTGGGAAAATTAGCCTCTGAATACTAATTACCCTTCAGTTCTACCCTTTGAATACTAATTACCCTTTCTATACTTTGAATACTAATTACTTCCGTTATTGTATGGGGGGGGGTTACCTACTATCATTCCATGAGGTATTGTCCGTAAACATATTTACAATTCCGTTCATGGTATATCCGCGACATCGATAAAATAGAAAATGCAGTATGGTCCACATACTTTGGTCCAATGACTTTGTAAGACATGTTTATTCCATTTGAGAGTTTCAAAAGATGGTTTGAATAAGTCTTTGTAGTAACGTGGAGGTTTTCCATAACTGTCCATTCTCTTTAGAGGAAAAATAAAAAACAACCTAATGTGTTCCAGGTTTTGAACTAGGGTCTGTATTGACAACAAACCTGCACGGAAAAGTATTTAAAGATTTAGGGATTTCATCCGCAGCAAATACCCCCAATAAATTATAGGATGATGTTCAAGTATGTTCTTGATTTGACGAGTATTCATGAAGATATATCATAGATTACATTTCTCTCAGAATCAATTTGTATAAAATTTTCAAAATCTCCATAACATACTAAGGAAATAGGACTGGTTGGAACATCCCCTGCAGCAAACGTGATGTCAAGTGTCAGTGATCCTTGTTGTACTGTATTAAAATAGGGAAAGGGACCACACATATCTGGAGTGAGATCCCACGCATAAATGGTGAATCCTTTGGAATAGTCTTCTCTATCAATATCAAGACCTGTATTATAGTTCATTTTTCCTGTACCAGAGAATAATGTGTTGTATGCCTGAATAAAATTCTCCTTGTTTTCTTTATAATTAAGGACAAGTTATTTAAAGGGTATTTCTTCCCCATTTGCAGTTAATGTTATTGATAACACATTAAAGTGTTGAAAGTTATATGGATTTTTGTCATAAACACCACTAAAAGCATCTGCGGCTACAAATCCACATATGAATGTTTTAGGGATGATTCCAGCAAACATATTGTCTTTTCTTATTTGTGGAAGATTTCCAGGGATGGTAAAGGCTTTACATTCAACACGACGTACAGGGCAGGTGGCAGGTACAGATGTTAAAGCCATCTCATGCGCTTTACTGACGGTTTCGCTGACTTTAACTTTACATACTTTGAGTGTTGCATCCACAAGCTTGATTTTAGCATTCATAACACTCCCGTTTTTATCTATCAAGCAGAATTTGTCAGAGTTTTGATTTAGGACTATTTTAAGATCCACCATACTAAGCATTGAATAAATTTATGATGTTTTGCAAAGCCTTGATTTCCACTTCCAGGTACTAAGTATTTCAGAGGTTTTGTTACGGGATTGTTCCAAGTACTACCACTAGGACTTGTCTTTGAATGTTCCGTAACAACCGTAACAGATTCTTCCGTTGGAAGGCTTCCTGTGCTGTCCATATGTCCGGGGGTGTTTTTGTAGTACAGTGCTGAGGGGAGTTGAGATTTTTTTGCTGAGACATTGTAGTTTAGGAGGGTTTCCAATTAGGCACAATAAGCATAAGTACCCATAGCAGGGGTGACTTGTTTTCCATTCAAGTAAACAACAACTTGTTTAAACAAACTGTGTAAGAAATTGTTAATAGGAGCCACACTTGATTGTTCGTCCCCACTTAGAGGGGTTCCATCAGATTTTGTAATTTTTAGTTCAATCACAAGAATCATTTTTGACATATCGATATAATCCTCGGTACCTGCTGTTAAAAATGTAATGGGTCCATCGTCATTCTCTACACTGGAGAGTGCATGATAATCGATCCATCGTCCTTTTTCCAAACTGAGTTGTGTAGAAGGAATATTGAATAAATCGATTTCACTTTTATCGCATCACACAGAATTAAGATGTACGTAGTTATTCATTATTATGGACTTCTTGTTTACTTCGATATCAAGTAAGATATGATTGCTTATTCAACTTTCATTCAAATATAAATACTTTTTTATTTTTAACCAAATATGTCTTGAGGGAGAGCTCTTCTTTGTTTTCTACTCATACCACATGTTTTTACAACGGCTACAGGTCTTTTCCGTTGTGTTTTCCGTCCTTTCCCTCCTGAGGTTTTTTCTTCGCTTCGTCGCCATCCTTTTACGTTTTCTTACGCTTCGGGCTCGTTTTTTGTTTTACGTTTTTTACCACCGCTTTGACTCTGCTTTTTAAGATGCTTCCTAGAGTGGGATCGTTTTCTAGATTGAGATCCTTTACATTTTTTTCCACCTATTTGTCTTCAGGCTTGATTTTGGAGTAATGCTTGTAATGCCTTCTCCGCGGCCATATTTGCTGCTCGTGTTCCTGCTTGTCTTCCATGTGTTTTTGCAGAGAGTTTTAAGCTTTTTCCTGCAATTAAATCATTAATCAAATTTTGAAGTAAACTAACTCCAACATTTAAACTGATGTTGCCCACCTCTTTTGTTATAGGTTTTAAGAAAATGCTAACATTACGAAAGAAACCTAATCCATACCCCTCCTGAATTTTTTTACAATTCATCTTTTAAAAATAACTCTTACGTTTAAAATGTAGTGTTATCAATGCGCGTCCACGCTCAAATAAGAGGGGTTCATTTGTACTACTCCTTAAAAGAATTTGCATTTCCTCGAAAGATTTTGTTTGAACAGTAATGTAACGTATTTGCTTGACATATTCTTTGCCCTCTCTAACAGGAACGATGTCAAGTAACGAGACAGTTTTGTCTCCAACAATTTGTGGTTGTACAATATTGCAATATACATAAATGTCTGTCTCTCTATGTATATTTCCTTCATGAGCCCCTGTCTCGGTGGTCTCAATTTTCTTTTCAATAGAGGGATCGTTAGATGTTAAAAATCCTAGAATAATAGCTTGATCTTTACGTAAATTGACTTTATATCCGCTCTCCAAATAAATAGTTACCTTTCTGTAATGAACTTTAAAATTAATCTTCTTTTTAATCTCCTCTGTAAATGAGTTATTAATATCTTTCACGTATTCGTCAAGTGATTCATAATATTTTGTTAATTTTCCCCCTCTTTTTTTCACACCATTTACCATGTATTGAATAGGTTCCCCATTTATATGTATTACTGACCATTTTATATATGAGATATTATATAAACCCACCTCCCATTCACCGTCTAATTGAATGCGATGAGGAATTTTTACTGTATACTCGGTCTGTCTGTTCTTGGGGAAAATGTCTTTTGAAGAGTCGCTAGGAAGTGAGATGTAGAAGTCGGTATTGTTCATGATTCAAACAATAAATGATGAGAGGTTGTAAAAGTGTAATTTTAAATATCTTTTATTTGAGAGGCAGGGATCCACGAATTAAATTTTGCCGGGTATTGCATCCATTTTACAAAATATTCTTCTTTTTTACCCTTCCCTCGTCTTTTTAAGATCTCCTCAACCTCGTAAATATTGTCTTCTTTAATAACTCTTTGTAACTCGTCTTTATAGAATGTTCCCTCCAATTCCTCTTGATCATAATCTTTTAATTTACAAACGGGAGGGTCACGAGGTATTTGTTTACTAATTGTGAAAATCTCTTTTGAGAAATTTGGTAAATACCCTTTCTCGAACCTATGTTTCATCTTACTAATTCTTTTTTAATCCCCTATATTAAATTTATACTTTATTTTTTTCCTTTTTCGATCTCCGTATAGGGTATGCCATATCTCTTGCTCGTTTTTAGACAACATTGTTTCTTCTGAATACTACGATGTTTACTATTGTTATACGATGACACTAAGTTAGGTAATACATCAATATATCTCATGGTCTTTTTAGCTGTAAAGTAGCGCCACATTTTGTTTTTGAAGTACGAATTACACGTTCTACAATTGATGCTTTTGTCTCGTTATATGTGTTATATAATTGAATCTCTTCTTTTTTCATTAAAGCTTTAAAATGTTTATTGAAGAATTCCATGCCTTGATCTGTTTGAATCTTATGTGGTTTTCGTCCTGATTTTAAGATAATTTTGAATGCGTCAACTAATGTGGGACCTGTTTTATCTTTCAATGGTATGACCCATGTGAACTTTTAGAATACATCAATGCAAACAAGTAAATAACAATATCCATCGTTTTCTTTTACCATAGATTGCATGTCCGCTAAATCCATCTGCCTTCTATTTCTTCTTTAATTACAGGTATGCTTGGAGTTAATTTATAGGCTCTTCATATTCCTCCTCTTCAATTACCGGTTCTTTGAATTCTTCCTCTTTTATGGGAAGTAATTTTTGTTCTACACTTGCTCTGTCAATAGGTTTATAGTCTTTATTTATTTTGAGTGAATATCCTATCTGAAAATTACCTTCTGTTTTTAAATCTTTATGTTCTAAACTTATCCCTACCTTACATGCCCCATGTTTTTCTATATTTTCATTTAATTGTCTTTTCGATTATTTTGCTCCCATGTTCACAACATGAAGTTTTATTCATTTTGAAACGATATATTGCGGGTGTTCTTCTTAATTTAAGTAAGGGTTTTTAAAGATTTTATTCATTTATAAACCACTCACAATGACGAGAGGATATCCTTATTCTAATGGCAATCTTAATTTTGGATACAAGTATGAGTATAGACCAAAAAGTGCAAAAGGGTATACCTGGCGAAATTGGACCGCAAGGACCTCCAGGACAACGCAGGGAAAGAGGAATACAAGGGTTAAAAGGACCAAAAGGCGATACAGATAAATTAGGACCACCAGGTCCACAAGGACAACAAGGACCATGAGGACAACCAGGACTGAAAGGACAGCCAGGACCGCCAGGGGCACAAGGACCTCAAGGAGCACAGGAAGCCCAAGGGATTCCGGGTACCGCTGCCACGAAAGGTGATCCAGGACCTCAAGAACCACAAGGACCTCCAGGACCAACAGGTCCATCGAGCCCTGCAGGCTCGAGAGGACCACCAGGTCGAGACGGTCCCATAGGTAATACAGGACCCACGCGGTTTAAAAGGGGACGCAGGACCTTGAGGTGATAAAGGTTTACCTGGACCAAAAGGTCTTCAAGGATTGAGAGGGGTCCAAGGACCTCAAGATAATACAGAACCTCAAGGTTCACGAGGGGCCGAGGGGGAATAGAGGTGATAGAGGGGATAAAGGTGAAAAAGGTGATGTTGGTAATGTAGGTCCTGCAGGTCCAACAGGAAAAGAAAGAACACAAGGACCGTACGGATCTCAAGGACAACAAGGACCACATGGACCACAAGGCATCCCTGGTACCGCTGCGGCGAAAGGTGATCCCGGACCTCAGGGACCACAAGGCCCACCAGGACAGCAAGGACTTACAGGACAGTGAGGACCTATAGGGCCTAGAGGTTTTGATGGACACACAGAACCGCAAGGTCCTATTGGTCCTATAGGAAATTTCAGTTCGCTTGAGAAATGTGAACTTATAATAATCGATAAGAGTTTTGAGAAAGTGAGTTATGAAGTAATGTTTAAAATTCTTTATAATTAAGATATGACCAAGACAAATGTATTTTTATAAAACATTTTATTAAAAGAAACAATAACTTTTATATAACATATTATGTCTTTACTCATGCGAGCACTTGTTTATTATCCTCGAGCAGGGCAGCAGAAGTGCTACCACTACATTCCGGTATTTGCTTTATTATCTTTATCAAACGAACAATAGTTCGCATCATCAAATCGACCTTTTTGTCCAACCTCTCTAATGTCTTTGATATTTGAGATGTCTCCTCGTCCCACAACAATAATGGGGATGGTGGTATTAATTGCGCCGAAGATGGTGGGTGTGGTGGTGTTTTGAGAGGGAAGAACTCTTCCCTTTTCTACTCTTTTTCTTCTTCCAACCACGTTAAATGAGTGAAATGATGAATAACATGGTACAACTCCTCATTAATGTTTCTAAAATCGCTCGAGAGTATATTTGGGAATTTCTTTGCGATACACTCAGTCCTCATCTTCCTCAAGATTGTAAAACATGGTATTTCATGTCTATAAAGTATCTCTTTATCTCTCATTCGTTTGAGAAACGAGCGTAGAGGGGTCGTTGAAAACTCTTTACCTTCTCCCCACCATATAAGTATTTCATGATGAGATAGATTTGAACTTCTAACAATCCAATTATGTTTGCTTTTTCTTCTTTGTAAATAATCTTGGAGGTCTTTACATAAACGTTCTTCTTTGAACGTAACAATTACGTAATGTGTAGCATTCATGTTGAAAACAAAAAGCGAATGAGGCAAATGTATATAACAACCTTTATTTACACATGTTTTTTATACTTGTATTTAACTTTTTACACGTCCCTTTCTCATTTTCTCACGTGTTTTTAAAACCCGTAAGGTAATGTTTTGAAATCATCTATCAACACATGTTTGTCATAAACTATGCGATAATCTTTCTTCATCTCCTTGGTTATAATGTTTTTCTTTTTTGTCCCTTGTGATCTTGAAAGGATTACTTACAGTAATTTTTGTTTTTACATTACATTTTGCATGTAAATATATGAGAGCACAAACAGTACTAGGATTTATCTTCTTGCTTACGGAATGATTCAACGTGATGCCACGGATTTTCGTCTTGGACCTTTCATCCTTGGTACAGTATGCTTAATTCTTTGGTCCTCCAGACATAAAGGTAGTAATATGTTTCCCATTTAACTCATCAGTAAGATTTTGTCAGCACCGTGAATACAAGACTTGATGGACAAGAGGACGCTATGAAGCAGGAAATTTATGAAGGTTTCACCCGATATTTAAGGTATTCCTCTTTAATGTCCTTGCATAATTGTCTCAGTATTATATAAATGGCAATCTCATATATGATAGATTTATGCCTAGAATGGTGTGTTTAGATTTGTTTTGCTTAAAAATATCTGCTTGAGAGTGTGCATACATAATTTATAGTAAGCACGAAATTTGTTGATTTATTCTGTTTCCTTACAAAATTACTTAATTTCATTTGAATGGCAAAATGCTCTTATTGTTTAGATGACTCAAACAACAATTTTCAAGACTGTGATGTCAATTTAAGAAATTTACCTATGTTAAAAATTTCTTCACCAGTTTCTAATATTTCTCACCTTACCAATTTTGATATTGATTTTCATATGCCTACTGACAATAACTTTGATTACTATTCCCCTCATGAGTTTCATAGCAATAAGAATATAATTGAATGTTCTTCAGATCCGAAAGCTTTTTCATCATTGCATTGCAATATAAGAAGTCTATCAGCTAACTATGATTGTTTTCTCCAAATTTTATTGGAATTGCATTTTCCATTTAATTGGATTATCAGAAACAACATTTACTAAAGATAAGGGTATTCTTTCCAATATTAATATGACGGGCTATGATTTAATCTTTGAACCAAGTTTATCTAGTGCAGGCAGGGTCGCATTCTATGTAAAAAAGTAACCTTCGCTATACTATTTGACCTGATTTGACCACTGTCAATGTGGATTTTAAAACACTTTGGATTGAAATATTTGCTGATGGTCAACAAAATCTTATTTGTGGGGTTATATATAGGCATCCACACAGTAATATTAATAATTTAATGGAACATATTAATATAACAACTGAAAAAATTAACCTAGAAAATAAGTTATGCCTAATTATGGGAGATTTTAACACCGACCTGTTAAAAATTGATACAAGCACTGAATCTGATAATTTTATTGATACTCTTGGATCGTCTTTCTTTTTACCACAAATATTCCAGCCTACTAGAATAACTGATCATTCTGCTACACTTATTGACAATATATTTTTTAACTCAATTAAACATTTTATTATTAGTGGGAATTTAGTTTATGATTTGACAGACCATCTCCCAAATTTTATAATTCTTAACAAATTCTCGGCCTTGCCTTAAAAGGTCAAGGTTTTTAAAAGAGATTATTCAAAGTTTAATAGTCCGATTTAATTGAAGAAATAAAAACAGTTAATTGGCAATTTCAGTTTATAAATAGTGCTGACCCAAGTTTCATGCTTGATGTTTTTAAAATCTCGCAAATTGTAGATAAGCATATACCAATTAAACAACTATCTAGAAATGAACTTTAACTCAAATCCAAACCGTGGATAACTCCTGCAATTAAAAAGTCAATATTTATTAAAAAGAAATTATACAGAAAATACCTTAGGACAAAATCAATATATTATCATAACAAATTTAAATACTATAGAAATAAAATAAACCATTTATTAAAGGTTAATAAAAGATCATATTATAATAATTACTTTGTTCAAAACATCAACGATCCTAAACAAATATGGAATGGAATAAAAGAGATAGTACATGTCAAGCCAAAAAACAATCAAAACTCTTTTAAAATTACTCATATTAATACTGATATAACTGACCCCAAGTTAGTGGCTAATGCCTTTAACAATTATTTTACAGAAGTTGGAAACGATTTGGCAAGGCAAATACCAAATGTGGCCAAGTCACCAATGGACTATCTTAAGTCCTCATCGCCAAATAGTTTCTACATCTTTCCTGTTACTGTCAATGAAATTGAAAATATAATTTCTAGACTAAAACCAGGTAAAGCAACTGGGCCCTTTAGTATTCCTATAAACATCATAAAAATCTTGAAAGATGAGATATCGAAACCTTTGGAAATGTTATTTAATTTATCATTTTCTCTTGGGATAGTCCCTCAGAGTCTTAAATTAGAAAAAGTAATTCAGGTCCATAAAAAGGATGGTCTTACTTCTCTGAGTAACTATTGCCCCATCTCTTTATTATCAGTATTTAATAAACTCCTTGAGAAAGTAATATGCAATACATTATTAAACTTTTTGGATAAAAATGATGTATTCTATAATGAACAATTTGGCTTTTGTGCCAAATATTCAACAGATTATGCTATTTTAAGCATCATCGATAAGATTCAAACGGCAATAGATTCTTCTAATTATTCATGTGGAATTTTCTTAGATTTTAGTAAGGCATTCGATACTGTAAATCATAAAATCCTTATTAAAAAGCTGGAATATTATGGTATTAGAGGAGTCGCCAAGAATTGGGTCATATCTTATCTTAGTTTTTTTTTTTATTATTATTATTATAGTAATATTTTTACAGGAAGCTACAATCACTGATACGTGGTTTTCATGAAGGTCCTGCATACTAAATTACTATGTATAATACATTATTTAAAAAGTTCATATCTATTGACTAGCATTACATTATAAAAACACTAAAGAAGAATGTAAAAAATCCTAAATGTTAATGCATCTATTTAAAAATATTCCTAATAGAATGTTTAAAATTCACTAAAGAATCTATTTCTCTAAGAGAATAATCGAGATTATTCCAGTCCTTAAAAATGTGATAGACACACCTTTGCTGTCCCCAATTACGTTTACTTAATGGTAATCGCACATCATTCCGTCTTCTGGTGTCATGGTTGTGAACGTTTCTATTCAACTTCACGTCTAGTTCAATATCAATATAACCATTTAAGTACTTAAATGCCATTGTAAGCCTGTGAAGCAGGCGAATTTGTTCTAACGACTTCCAACCCAATTCATTTAAGGCTTCCGTAGCAGAAGAACGCATAGGCAAGTCCAGTATGGTCTTAGCTGCTTTATTCTGTAACACTTGGAGTTGATTCATCAAGCAGGCATTGTTCTTGTCACCCCACACAAAATCTGCATAACTGAATAAGCAATTAATCTTGCATGGAATGATATTAGTTTCCTCACACGTTTTATTATTCCGATCCTTTGGGCAACTTTAGTACAAAGAGAGTCCACATGGTCAGCCCAGCACATATTCTGCTTGACAATCACCCCAAGGTATTTGATTATGCGTTCTCAATTTCCTGTTGATCAACGTGAATGTTGATATCCTGTACTTTCTTAAGCCTTTGATTGCTCCCAAACAGAACAAACTTACATTTAGATATATTAAGTGTTAGTAAGTTATCATAAAACCATCTCGAGAGCACAACAAGATCAGCATTTAACTTGTTTTCCAAATCTTTAACATCTTTGCTGCAGTAATATAACACAGTATCATCGGCGTACAAAACGACTTTACTTTGCAAATTGAGCGATGGTAGGTCGTTTACGTACACGATGAAAAGCAACGGCCCAAGTATGCTTCCCTGAGGGACTCCGATAGACATAGGCAGTGGAGATGATATACTATCACTGACTGATGTAACTTGGCTTCTTTCGGATAAGTAAGATCTGAACCAATTGAGAGAATCCTCATCGACTCCAAGTGAGCGAAGCTTGCCCAGCAAAATGGCGTGGTCGACAGTGTCGAACGCTTTACTGAGGTCCAGAAAAACGGCACCAGTAAAGC